AAAATTGTTCTATACACGGTTTGAGCAGCAAGATCGTGTTCAGCTTGAACTCTTTCTTCCATTTTGTATCTTTGGGATACTTCATCTGGTACAAAGACTCTTTCATTCCAACATAAGAAAACATTTCTTGCAAATATGGAACATGGATGCATTTAACCAGTAGTTACAAATGCATAAATAATGTTTTGTTTTAAACATAAAACGCTGAATATTGATATTTGAAAAGATTTAAAACATGAAAAGATGTGAAATTAAAGCGACCTGGCTAAGGACTCTTGCAAAATGCATTTTGTCGTATGCTTTTTGAAAAGAGCTCTAATGATTTTTCATTTGCAATATTATAGCTAAATTTCCTCTAAACACCCAATTGAGGATGATGTGCAAACGCTGAGGTCAAACTCCACCAGCAGCAAAAAGTGCCCATGGAATAGCCAGCATGCTTTCAATCCTGCATTTCAGCTCAGCATCCTTTATCGATTCTACTCCAGTGCGTTGATGTCAAGACACGAAACGTCCGAGAGCGACCTCATGGTCTGCACATTATCCGTGGCTGAGAGGGCACTAATGAAATTGGATTCAAGCTCATCTGGAAAGTGCCCTCCTGTTTGATTTAATTAGCCAAATGTCTCTGCTCCCCATCCAAGCTAGAGTAAAATGATTTTCAACAACGGAGATTTGATGGGTCGCCGCAGTCTCCGGCAGAAAAACGTCTGGGTTTCGTGACGAAACTCCTGTCAATTATTCACTCCACCAAAGCTCTCATAGTATTTCAGTATACACTGAAATTTCAAGCTGGCCGTGAGGGACACCCTTCTTTTTTGCTTTCCATTTTTCCCATCTGAAGGCTTATATAAGAGACAGCCACATGCTCTTTAATGTCTAGGACAGTTTATTATTGCACCGACTATTGACCTCATCGATGTCATAAGGTCACATACAAATTCAGATGTACTTTAGTGGAGACGTTAACAAGATTGAAAAGGCTAGACCTGTTTCAATTTGCTCTGAAACTGTCAGGAGTGACCCTTTAATGAACCCTGGTCCAACTTAATTATTGTTCATCCATAGACCAGCATTAAAGAAGACTGCAGGGCTCTGTTTCTTAATTTATAGGTTCCTATTTTAGGTTATTACCCAATGCGCTCATTATGTGCCGTCTGCTGCATGAGGCTAGACACGGTCTTGAAATGATTCTGTCATGACTTAACTGTAATGGGACCATAAACATAAGAAGATAATGTAAGTAGCAATCATGGAACATATTCGTCTAATAAGACGGTATGAATTCAATATTTGTTTTGGTATGAATGATTTGAGTGCTGCACGTAGAGAAGTCATCACCAAGGACATTCGTCTGTTTTTAGTTTAAAGGTGAAGTGTCTTTTATCGGTATGCTACAAAATTCTGGACTCTCTGTTGACCTCTGTGATTGAAACATGAAACTGCAAGTTACATGTTATTTTATTTTTTCCAAATTTTATTCAGTTGTACTTTGGCATTGCTTTTCTACATAGATTAATCTGATGGTTTGATATATGTAATATTGCATTAGAATTTAAATTTAATAAAATATAAATAAAAACTATAAATAAAATAACTCAAACAAAATAAATAAATAAAATTATAGTTATGAGTTACATATAATTTTAATACAGTTGTATAGTTTTATATATTAATACAAAACATTAAACATAAAAAAAATATATAATATAAAACATTTAAAATATATTACAAATTTTAAATATATAATGTATAATATAAAATTTTAAATATGTATCGTGTATAATCTTATAAATTCTTAATAAATCTTATTATAAATTATAAAAATACATTTGTATAATCATATCTTTCACATAATCTTTTAAATATAAAATGTAATTAATAATATTTAATAGTAATTGCATTTAGCATATATGTTTTGTCAGTGCTTTGTCATAGCGCAGTGTTAAGTCATAGTGTAAACCAAACCAAACTATAAGTTATAGTGTAAACCAAAGTGCACTGAAAAAAAAATTGTGTAGACAAATTTTCACTCAGATGTTCCTAGTAAATATCACAAATAATTTTGAAGAATTGGAAGTTACACATTGAATTAAGCATGAAGTAGAAATACTGAAACATACTCCAAACATACTCCAATTTTCACAGTGTGTCTGTGATTCAGGAAGTGATTGAACGTGGTATCTAAAGCAGAGACAGTAGCAGTAAGCCTCCAGACTACGGTGTATTGGGATTCAGCAGCAGTCAGTCGGGAGAATTGTTTTTGTTTTTTCACCTTCCAACTTCCCTCTCTCCTGACACCTTTATTGAGGCAGTGCGAGACAGAGTTCTCTTTCTATTCCTGCTTCTTCCGTTAAGCCAATGATGGGCCATCTGCCAAGAATCTGCAATTTGAAGAGTCATTTCACAATTATGTCAATCTGCACGACTCTGAAAGAGGGCGGAGAAATGCAGATGGCAACTCTTGCTCACCCTTGAAGAACAATTATATATGTTTATCCCATTTAATCGGTTTCATATGGCAGGGAAACTTGCTGGGGAGTTTGTTTGTCCTGCAATGTTTGTTGCATTGTCCTGCAACTTTAACATGTTAAGCAGGTCCAAAAATAGCAATAAACCAAAGCATAGCAGTGGGCAGTATTTTTAGATTAGTATTCCTGCACCATGCGGCTAAAGCATCTCCCTCCTGTCGTGTGTTCTCCTGCACAGACACAAGGGAAGGTCCTTTCTCTCTGTCTTCCAGCTCGCATCCCACTGCAGGAACTTCAGCGTTACTTGGCAAGAGTTCTAGAATGTTTCACTGAGGGAGAGGATATGTTGTCCTTGAGCTGTTATCTGCCACTACTTCATAATGAACTGCGTCCCGTGGAAGTAATGCTCAATGAAGTGATGGATGGGGGAGACGGACAACAGACTCCCAACTCCCAGACTGCTTTGATGTCTTGTGAGCTTCCACCACCCACTGAGCAACAATATACAGGGTTCCCACAATCATGGAAAACCTTGAATTAAAAATGTTGTAAAATTTCTATGCCTGAAGTTCAAGCTTTGAAATTAAAAATGGAAATATAATGAAAAAAAACAACAAAAAAAAAACATGGAGAAGTCATGGAAATATTTTATTTTATTTCATTTATTTTATTTTTACATATATGATATCAAATATGACTTAAAAAAATGACTGATGCTCTGCGATTATCTGAAATCTAAATATCTATTTGTAATCATAATAGTTGTCATGAATATACGGTCTCATTATTCAGTACTAAATGGATTATTTTATTTTATTTTTTTATTTTAGCATGACATAAGCAGTTTCCATTACAGATTTGTGCAAAACTTTGTGCGATATTTTATAAATGGCGATAAAAAAACTATTGCGAAATTATGAAATTTCCATTTACCAATGTTATGCGACTAAAACGTAATTTTTTTTTCTCGCTCTAAGTCATGGCGACAAATGTTGGTAGGTTTACATATATCGCAACCACTGCACTAGCCATTATTTTTAACTGAAGGGGACGTAAGCATGTATCTTTAGCGAAGATGATGTCTAATTTAGACATTAATGACTGTGTGTTGAGTTATTTTGAGGGGACAGCAAATTTACACTGTTATACAAGCTGTACACTCACTACTTTACATTGTAGCAAAGTGTCATTTCTTCAGTGTTGTCACATGAAAAGATATAATAAAATATTTACAAAAATGTGAGGGGTGTACTCACTTCTGTGAGATACTGTATGTGTTTTTGCAAAATTGACGTGTTTCCATTGGGTGTATTTTCAGTTCACAATTTCAATTTGCGCAACTTGAAGGGTAATGGAAATGCAGGTATAGCAATGTAAAATATTTCAAATATCTAAATTATTAGAATGATAATCATAATAGTTGTCATGGGTAGAATTATTCTTTATTAAACATCCTCTTCGCTAAATGTGTTTTAGTTTAATAAATATTTTGGTTTATTAATTATGCTAAATATTCAACTACCAATAATAAGTGTGTAGTACTCTTCTTTCATCTTTGCAACACATATTCTCACATTTAAATAAATTCTGCAGATTTTACATTTAAAACCAGTACAGAAAATGCCAGTCTGCCAATTCTGTCCATACCGGGCATGACAATTTTTTTTCGTCCATATAAAATGTTGTTCTATAAATATGGCCGTTTGCACGAGGCCACGTCACACAACTATAGGTTTTAGTTAAAGAACAGAACTGCTGATTAAGTTTACTCTATTTTCAGATGTTTGTAGGTATAATTTTAGTTCTCTTGATCTGGCTGCTGGGTTTGACCCAAATAGGCCACACTGTCGACTCCCAGGTGTGGGCGGCTGAAAACTTCCTGCAACTCTTTTGCTCTGTGATCTGGACCTTTTATGAGGGAAACCGAACTGCTTTAGCAGCTTTTGTGTTTTTGTAAGTGGGTCGTCCAGTGCTCTAGTGTACATCGGTGCTGCAGGCGCTCTTTTCATTAGCGATGGGGTGGTGTCAGAGGGCCCAGGTAATGCGCTCCCATGGCGCTCGGCGAAGGGGACGGTCATTAATCAGCGGGACACGGCACCAGAGCAGAGCACATCATTAGGCTCTGAAACGCCACGGGATGCGGGGGTCACGCTCCCCTGACCCTTCATCAATAGGGCTGGGGAGGGGGTCTTAAGGAGGTATGACTCTGGGTGATGCTAGGGTGGGCCAAACAGAGGAAGGAAGCAGAAAGCGAGGCTGCGGTTATTGACCAAGATCCATTTGTTTAGCATCGGTCGAGGCCAGAATTACTCCCCTTTAAGTGTCAATGTGAAGGCCGCAGAGTTAAATGGCTGTATTATGTAGCTTAGAGAGACACCAAACCAAAAATCTTTTGACAGTTTTCATTATAAACCCATTTTTCTACCTTCTAAAAGCCAGAATGCTGCACAAAGCGATCAGCCAATCAGATCACAGGCAATTTAAACAATATTTGATGTGTAATTAATGTGTCTTCTCGGTTTCTTTCAGATCTTGGTGAACTCCATTACCCAGCCTGCACTGCTGTATGAGAACGTGGTGGTGAGCGAAGGGAACCCAATTTTAAGGGACATGCTGTTCAGCCCTGACCATCAATACATCTACACCGTCACAGATAAAGCGGTAAGACTTAAGGGAGTGTGCTGTTTGACATTGATGGTCGACGGGTTTTATTTGGGTAGAATGTTCTGAGGAACCCGATGGACAAAGTGGTTTGGTCACGCATCTGAGTCCCCAAAGACGCTACATAGAGAGGAAAGTACACTTACACAGAATGAAAGTTCAAGTGAAGAGACACTTTTTTGTTGTTTCAAACATTTGGTTGAAATGGCAAGAATGATTTTTACATCTATGCATTTGGCGGACACTTTTATTCAAAGTGGATTGTTGCATTTTACGATTTACATTTGATCAATTCAGAGATTCCCTGGGAATCGAACCCATGACTTTGGAGTTGCCAGCACCATTCTATACTGTTTAAAATACCGGAAATGTCTACAAGGGCACTTTTGGTGGTTTTTCCTTTGTCACCTGGTCCAACTTATCCAAGTTTTCGCCCGAAGTTTTATTTTAAAATAAGATTTAAAAAATAAATATAAAAAAATAAAAATAAAATTGGGGAAAAAATAATGGTTGTAAAAATATAATTTAATTTATATTTACAAAAAATTAATATTAGCGTAAACTTTGTCTAAAGAAAATGAAACCTATTTTCACAGCCTTTTTTTGTAAATAAGTACATTTTAATGTTTTTGTAAAGAAATCTATATGTAGGCACAATACTATATATATATATTTTCAAACTAATTTCAAACATAAAAAATGTCTTTATTAAAAGATAAAAGAAGATTGAGTAACAAACTTTTGACTGATAGTGTATACAATAGCTGGGTTGGACTTCGCTTTTGTGAATGAATGAATATTGAAAATGCTGCTCTATTATTACAAAGAAAAAGCTGTTCAGGATGTGTATTATTCAGTGTGCTGTCTTTTTATTCTGCACAGATTCACATGTTGAATTAGACTCTCTCTCTCTCTCTCTCTCTCTCTCTGTGTGTGTGTGTGTGTGTGTGTGTAAGCATGTGTGAAAGAGAGAGCCCCGGAACGTCTCCTGATTGTCTGCATGTGATATTCGACACTGTGTCAGCCCCTTTCCCATTTTTCCACACACATACACACAAGCGACGGCGCCTCTGGTAATTCACCACTTATCAGAGAAAATTGAGGAAGGGCTTCTCTGATCTTTTCTGATGGAAAAGAAAGCGTCCGAACCCCTGTCACCCCCACCATCCCCCTTTTCACTCAGACCGAGGGCTGGAGAATTCTCTCTCTCCTCTTTTTCTCCTTCCGTCTCGCTCCTTCCTTTGTTTTCCTCTTGCTTTTTTTCATGCTTTCATGTTCTCCTCACTAAGGGCTGATTGGAGTGCTTCCTGTCTTCCTCTCATTAAAGGGCATTTCCTTTATCACCGTAACACCTTTCACTCTACGCTAGCCCACACTGCCTCTGATTAGAGCGCCGCACCCCAGCACCAGGCTAAAAAAATCAATGAAGATGCATCATCGGCCATAGTTTGCCCTAGCACCCTTAGGTATTCATGGTAAACCAGACGAGAGAAGAACGTAATCACCCTCACAGTGATTGAGCACTGTGCTATGCTATAATGTTGTGCATTATAAAGATTGTTGTATGCATTATAAAGCTATTCTTAATTGTCTTGATGTATCTCTGAAAGCCTGTCATAAACATGTTTGAATCAGTTTTCACCCCAAAAATGAGAATGAAAATGACATTTGACTATATTTTATAAAAAGGAAATATCTATTTTATTTATTTATTTGTTTATGTAGCACTGTGATGTTAATTGTGCAATTAAGCACCTTTATTTATAATTATCATTAGTGCAATGTAAAAAAAATGCATTACTGTAGAGAAAAAAATACCTTATTCTCATTAGCATGCAATAAAAATCCTGTTACTGTAATAAAAAAAAAAAAAACATTTTTGTAATATTAAAAATTCGTTATTACTAATCAGAAAATAATTGTTTTAATACTTAAAAATATTTGTGTATTATGGTAGTATTTGTTTGTACTGCCTTTATAATGATTTCAATGTAAAAAAAAAACTGAGTGTATTCGGACTGGATGATATTCCTTGCTGTATGACATTAATGAGAATTTAATTAAAATTAAAAACAAACTCAAACATGAAAGATTTGAATACATTACAATACATAACTCTGCATTGATGTCAGTGCAAACACCTATACTGTATATATTAGGGCTGTCAAAAAGGCTGAAAAACTAAATTCGAATTTTGTACGTAAATATTATCAAAATTCTAATTATATTCGAATTTAAAATGCATAATTTCAGTTAGGGTGAAGAAAAGCTGTTGGCTTCTTTCCTGAGGCCACAAGAGGGCCTGGTGTAGACAGCATCACTGATTATTAGGGCTGGGTATCGATTCAGATGTCCCGATTCGATTCAATTTCGATTCGCAAGCTCTCGATTCGATTTAATTCTCGATTTTTTTTATTACATTCAGTGAATATAGTTTTAATACAAATGCTATTGATATTTCTAAAAAATGAACAGTAAACATCAGTTTACAAATGGTGAATTAATAAAAAGAAATTAATAACCACATGCCTGTATTTTAAACCTATTATTTTTTTTTTTGTATAGGGTCCTTTTTTAAATAATAATAGGGCCCTATAAAATTTTCTTAATTTTTCTGGTAATCAGATGAAAGCATAAAACATTAATTTAATTGATCCTAATCAAATGAAAATTAAACCCTTTTATTTTTTGGCAAACAAAGTGCTGCACAACAGAGGTTTACAGTTAAAAATAAAGAGTTATTAATATTTATTAGCAGTAGTAGCATTGAGTCTTAAGACTGCTAAATAGTAATATATTCTGACAGTTTCTTAACGTTAAACTAAACTTTTATTTTGACAGGTTGCCGTGAAGAACTTGCAGCTGCTGTGTATGTGATATGACGGTAGTTTTCTCAAATGAAACGGTAAAATGCTAATGAAGTGACTATCAGAGCAGCTGGAGATGACATTTGTGTTCATATCATCATATAGTAAGACGGCAGAAGCTGAAAACACCGTGGGCGTCATCCGCGCTTTAGTATGCGTGTAGTAAACAAAACTGTGCACCGCACCATCCGCCATTCATTCATTGTGGAAATCATGGCGCCTTATGCGTGATATCAAATGCTTCCGCAGATTTATAGTATTACTACAGCATTTCACCTGAGCATTGTGAATCACGCGTATGGCCACGATAAGCGCTGAATGAATGACAGGCTTTCTGTTGTAACATCACGCAAGGTAAACAAAGGTGACATCTAGTGGAGAAGACTGATGATAAGATTCACCTTAATCAGATCTTGTTTTATCCCTTGACGCTTACGATCACACCGGTGTGATCAGTCTTGGCTGGTCCCTGAAGCGTACGAACACACCGGTGTGATTAGAACTTTCAGTCCGTCACGTCATCAACTGCTGAATTTAAATCTGCTTTCGCGCTTTGCCTGGCGCAGAGCCAGATTGGATGCGCTAAGCGCTTGTCATATCACAAATATTCATTGTTTTCAACCATATAATACTTATTTTAGGTTTCAGACATTTAAATACACATAAGTACTAGCAAAACCATACATTTACAAAAATACAGTTTGTAAAATACACGCTGATGTCTATGGAAACGGCAATAATGATCCTTACAAATATAATCTGACGACATGTTTTTATTTATATCATATACAGATTGTGTGGATAACTATAAAGTTTACTCTGCTCTTCTCCCAGTTTACCGGAGACCTACTTTAACGTGTTTCGGGAGGAGAGGATGAATTTGCGTGTTGTAAATCCCACATCTGGGATGCAGCGCGAACTAACATGGTGGCGCCCATCACCCGGTATAGATCAACTAACACGGTTGATATAAAAGTGTTTAAACTACCAAATAGATTTAATTGCACATATTGCTCAGAATCGGAATATCAGATATTTCATAATATAGTGAGCATGTTTGTGAATATTTTGAATAAAACAGGAAAAACGAAATAAAAGTGATCCATCTGTCATACAGATCTATTGTGACGCATCGCCATGGAAACAATAAGGCGATAGATTTTAAAATAACGGTCGCCTAAAAAAAACTCACGCTGGGGACTCAGCTAGAATATTTTAAACTGACGTGCGAAAGGGTTAAATGTGTGCTGAAATAAATACCGGAAAAGATCGATTCGCAGCTTTTGAGAATCGATATCGAATCGACGTCGATTAATTCGAAAAATCAATTTTTTTGCCCAGCCCTACTGATTATAATGAGTTCTATAGTATTTTGTCACGCCGCACAAGTCCGGTGTAGACACGGTGTTACATTGGTTTTGCTTTGTCGTCGGACTGACAGAACAATTTTCCATTTCCCATATTCACATCCACTTAATTAAAAGTTGCTGATAGCCCCGGCATCTCTCTCTGCCGTTCTGGGGTCCGTGGGAAGACATAAAGCTGTCCCGTACTAAGCGAGAAGAAACTTCGATTAGCTTTAGCTTGATTTAAACGGCGCTCACTGCTGTATGGATGATAAACTTTACAATGTTTATCTGAGGCTGGGAGGAATTTCTGAGAAAAAAAAGAAAAGTCCATCAATGGATTTGTCAGTTTGGTATATTGCTCGTGTAGTTTGGGGAGATGTTGTTTGTTTTTTGGGTGACTCATGAAACCTGTTAAGTATGTGTCCGGCTCATATTTCACATAAAATTGAAAGGAAATAAATATGAAATTATATTTGGCTTAAAGAAAATGAATTGGTTTAGTTTATTTGTTCAATGTGTGACATTGTTTTTATGATGAAGTGCATTTGCCCTCAAAAATCTCATCATCGTAATGCAAAAAAAATAAAAAATATTTCTTTGCTATACTGCAGAAGAATATATACTGTAATTACTACAATATATAAGAATATATACTCGATAGATAGATAGATTGATTAGAAAGTATTATTATATATTTACATTTTTAAATATATTTTTTAATATGTTTTAATATATTTTAAATACATTTTAGGAGCTCAAACTCAAAACACACGGCAGCAACAAACAGGAAGTGACGTATTTGTTGTGTATGTATATGCTTTCCATCAA